ATCCCAAAAGTCATGCTTCCTACCATGCCACCCGATTGTGAGATGGAGCATCAGATCCCACTGTGCCACACTGCCGGTGCAGGGGGAGCCCCATCCTACGCACCCCTCGCACCAGAAAGTAACAAGCTTGGCTTCTTGCGCCACCATGGCTGCAAAGCTAGATCAGCTGATCAGAGCTCCCAGTCTCTGGATCTCACAGAAGTCTTGAAATACTCCAGTGTACTCCAGAGGCTGGCAGCACTGGCCACACATTCAATTAAAGGCGTGACAGGAACCAGCCACAATGTTAGTACCCATATTTTGTGTAGTAATTTGGTAGCTTATCCCTTATTTTACCACACCGTTAATGGAATGAACTTGTGGCCAGATCACTACTTAACCAGTTAATCATGTCTTAAACATAACTTCTGTTAGAGGCATACAAATTGCAAATCTACCTTGCCTTCTGCCAGGCGTTCACAACTATCCAGGCTTCTGTGGAGCTCAGTGGAATGCTGTACAAGCCTGAGTGGTCCCTACAAATGTAACCTTAGATTACAAGACCTAGGCCAAAGTTGTATAGCCATATGTAAAAAATATCAACTCAGTCAAATTTTGGTCTGGAGCCATTTATATTGTAAAAGAAAAACCTGAACAAACTTTCTCCCCTCCCACAACAAAAAGACTTTTACATAAAGTACGAGGACACAAACAGGAGATTTTAAGTGAAGAGAAAGATGACAAAAAACATAAAGACAGAGAATAAAGGAAAAATGAGAAACATACTAGAAACAAAGTCTCACAAAGATGATAAAGAATGGAACGCAAAAATGGAAAGAATGGAAAATGATAGTAAGTAAAACCTATACCAATGCGCTATATTAGGAATTAAGAGAGGACAAAACCAAAAACTAAATAAATTGATGAGAAAATGCAGCAAACTTTTAAAAAACAGCTTAAGTTCTTGTAAAATCTAAAAGCCTCTCTACTGGAAATGAGAGAAAAACTTTATATACCTAGTAGATTTTTGAAAAGTGGAACATGTGAAGCAGAACTTATACAAGAGACAAAAAAAATGTGAATACATAAATGAAACACTAATATTAACCTCTACATGGGCCTGTTACTGTTTATTTGCATGTCTGTGCTGCTGTACAATTTGTTTACAGTATCATGGATTACTCTTGGGGAAGGGCCATCATTTATTATAAGTCCTTACAGCACTTATGAGCTCACCCTGCTGGAGACCTAGAGACATTACTTCTGTAAACATTTAATAATATTCCACAGTCATCCTACTTTTGTAGTATTTAGCTTTCCTCTAGTATTTTCCAACCTCTTTAACAAACTTTCACGCCCAGATTTTGTTTTAATCTGACAGTATTCATAAACAGAAAGAACACAATACAAATGTCACTGCCTTGCTTTCCTGGAAAATAAGACTTAAGGGTATTTGTTGGACATATGAACACACTTTAATATATATTTTGGTATTTTGATCTAAGACTGTTGTTAAAATTTGATAACTGAATTCTGAGGTACATAGCCATTAAGAAAAAAAGATTAATCAATAGGGCAAAGATAATCCCAGATAATATCAAACAGAAGAATAAGGTCCGCCCTTCCCCTCAAAAAGGTGTAACTTGGGTTTATGTTCTAATTTGCGACAAGAATATTCAAGAAAAACTAGGAATACTAAGATTAGATTGTACTAATGATGAGACATTTCCAGAGTACAAACGACTATCAAAAAAAACAAAACAAATTCTTTAATGAACCAAGAAGTGATATTAAGGATTAGCTCTGGAGAAAACTACTTCAGATCTGTCAAGATGGTATAATAGCTGCCTGGACTGGTTTGTAAGAAGGAATTAAAGGCAAATAAGTGGAAAAGGAAGCAGTTATCTATAAAGAAGGGTCTAATTCAGGAAGCACTGAAGGGTAGAAAGACATTATATCTTATGCTTTTATAGAGTGCAAAACAGAGGACCAGCCTGCTACATAAAGCCAAACGTATCAGACGCAAAACTAAAAGCCTGCTATAGTGAATGCCAGCTATAATGGAAACCCTGGAATTCTTTACATATGACTAAGCAGAACGTGTAGTTAATGCATTTTAAAAGAAGTCTTACTTTCTAAAATTCATTTATTTTATAGAATTGACATTCACTGTTCAAGAATTCCAATTTACAAAACAGATAACTTTTCAAACTTGAAACCATGTGAATATGAAAAAATGCAATGCAAAACATCTGACTTGCCTTTGAACTATTGACTTTACAAAAAGTTAGCATAATTTCATCCTTCAACAGCAAAATGGATACGAAGCTCTTAAAAAGGGTGATATCATGGGATACTATTGGAGGACAGACTTTGCTTCTCGAAAATATAAGTTAACCACCAACATTTTTCAAACTATAATAATCAACATTATATATAGGAAGGAAAAACAAAATTTAAACAACAGTATTTTGGTATTGTTCTGTAATGCTTTCTATAAAGAAAGTAGACCCCATATTTTCTTACTATGGTAACTGATAAGGTGCTGCAGAAATAGTCGGCATGTCTACACGTACCACTATGGTGCCATTGTTACTGCCCTGTCATTTAGTACGTCCTTTTGGAAGTATTAAAGATGGTGCAGTAACAGTTAGTACTGCGCTGTGCACAGTTATTTTTAGGCACTACGTTGCTGTGGTGACATGCCATAATGGGGGAGCGTGTCACCACGACAATGTAGCTGCAGCATCATGAGTTTTGTTTGCGGATGCTACAGGATGCCACGCTGCTGCAGCGTGTTGCTACGGCAATGTAGTATCATGTGTAGACGTGCCCAGTACCTGTTAAAGTGGGGGGGACAAAGTTCGGCCCATGGGCCGGATCTGGCCAGCAGTGGACTCCATTTCCCAGCAGCCCCTGCCCCTGTGGCTGGGGCTGATCTCCATGGCAGCTCCAACCACAGGTGCGCTGTGATAGTGCAAGGCTGTGGTTGCCATGGAGACTGGCCACAGCTGCACTAGCAGGGCATGCAGCAGGGAAGGGTAGGGGGCTGTTCCAATTGTCACCACTGCAAGGAGCCGGGGCAGAACCATGATGTGCTGCCTGTACCACTGCCCAGAGCGTGCAGGCTGCAGATTGTGGCTCTGCCCTGGCCCTGGACCAAACTGCCCCTGCTGCAAGATTTCAGTAGCTCTGGAGCAGCCCCCTGCCCTACCGCGCTGTCCTGCCAGCACGGTTGGGGCTGGTCTCAATGGCAACCACAGGGCCTTGTGCTATCACAGCTATCATGTTATCCAGCTGCTGGCTGGATCTCCCATTTTGCCCATCCCTGTGTTAAAGAGTCTGCATCTAGATTGTTACTTCTTATAACCACAAAATATAAGAAGCTTATAAGAATATCTAGTTTCAAATGTTCCTGACCAGCCTCACAAGCAGGTAACCACGTCAACAATTCAAATTCAAAGAGCAACTGCTTATATATAATATTTAGCATTCGTCTGTATTTTCAGTTGCCCTCAAACTACCCTCTGCAGGAACCTACTGTTTGTTTTCATCTGTGCATTCTACCAGGGCTATTCAAGTGATTGTTATTCAGTGTTTAACTTCCAAAGTATAGTTCTTTACTACCAAAATGTGGATTTGGGAAATGCTTATTCTGAAGCAGCAAAAGCCCAAGGATAAATCTGAAAATCTGGTCCATTTTTATCCTTCTACCCCGATAAACCAAAGTTGAGAACCACTGTCCTTGTATTAATATCATTAGAATTAAAATAGAGCTCTGCATTTAACTAAAGAGGAAATCAAATAAAAATGGAAGCGATGAAGCTTTTGTTTATAGTTCAGGTCATATCATTCGTATACTTATTTTCATGGACTATATAATATCCTTCAAAATAAATGTACACACACACACACACACACACACACGGAAAGTGCTGTACCATAATGTCAACAATCACTGTTATACAATGATAATTTGTGCAAACCATAATCTAGTTGGCAGCTTTCTCTAATCAAAACAATTTATTTATATCCAACACTGAAGAGAAATTCATTATAACAAAAATGCAACTCCAATAATCATAATACAGACAAATTTCTGCAGGATTAGAGACAATCAGCTGTGCCTTGTGCCTCATAGTGCCCCAGGGCAGCGATTATCTATGGAAACCACGGCTTCTGTCAAATCTTATTGCAAGCAATAACTATGTTTATCTTCACTTAATATTTGGCATTTCGGTTCTCAGAGAGAAATTTAGACATCCAACTAAATAGTGAGAACATACACAAAAGTCTAAGTAAATTTAACAAAAAATTCTCAAATTAGTTGTGGTATAAAACTGTGGTCTATCATTCTTGGACTAATTCTCTCCATTCAACTTCTATTTCATAAAAATAAGTGACTTTCCTTTACAAGGAGTGTTGTCACATATATTTGTGGCTTGACTATTCTGAGAACAGAATACAGATGACCACACCAAAGAAAATCTTTACATTGTTGCACTGAATTTAGCACCAAGCCTAAAGGTAATTAGCATGAGAATGATATAGCTAAATCCCCTCTACAATAATTGGGAAATGGATGCTGCAGCAACTAGTAGAGCAGTATAATAAGATCATAATTTAATAAAACTGTAGGCACTGCATCTACTAGATAAGCTGGATAAATAAATGTGCCAATTCCAATTGAACATAATCCTTTAATTTAGTCTCTGCTAGTTCTCTAGAGAAAAAAAAAGTAAGTTTCAAAAACAATTTCTTGCTAGAAAACTCACCCTGTTAGACTGTATAAACCATACCACACTGGATATTAATAGACTAAAGTTTTAAATATTTTGCCGGGGAAAGACAGAGGGAACAAGGACTGAAGAGTGAAGTATTTCTGAAAGTTATTAAGAAAAGGAACGATTAAATAATCTAAATACTTAATTGTGATATAACTCTAAAATATATAGATTTTTAACTGTATTTTTTTGGTAAGAAACAAGAGCAGAATTCATGGTTACCATAGTTACACATACTCTTTGTTGTGTTTCAATGCCACATGATCTGATTCAAAGTAATACACGTCAGGCTCTTCCTCATCATCTTCTGCAGTGTGCAGGTTGGCACTCTCTTTGGCAGATGATATATATCCAGGAACGAGCCTAACTTCAGAAGGTGGCTTACTTAGTCCTTCACTCCCAAAACCTCCAGAGTCACCACCTCTGTCTTTTTCATTCTGTTTAATTTCATCAGAGTTTGTGGGAGATCCATTGATATTATTAATACTTGCAGGTACATTCTTTTCTGTGGGACTAAAATTATTTTCCTCCACCTGCCCATTTTCTCTACAAGGAGAGTTATTTTTAGTGGGGCTACTACGGGGAGCAGCCCTTCGTGGTGAAGTTCTCAATGTGTATCTGTGTTCTTGAAGTTCTGACACTGATGTCATTTGAGCTGAAACACAGTCCAGCATTGAAGATGGTGGTTCAGGTTCACCTGAGATTGATGTACTATCATGTTCAGCATTCAGGCTGCTACTGGTGTTTTCAGCACATTGTTCCTTTGAGGCACTGCTATCTCCCACCACATCTACTTCCTCCTCAGAATCCCTTAATAAAGATGACTGGATTTCAGAAAAGGACCCTGTAACTGGTTCATCTGCCTGATTTGCATGTTCCTCAGGCAAGCAGTCATTTATTATTTTATGGTCCTCTAACTTTACCTGTTCTTGAGAATTTGTGCAAGGCACATAATGGTCTACAACACTGTCCTCCTTGCTGCTATTAAGCAACAATGAACAATGGGCAAATGAGTTCCCATTTTCTGCTACTGTTTTTTCCTTGGATGTACAGGAACTAGCATTGTTCTGTTTAGTGCTCCCATCAGACTGACAGTCATCACAGTTTAGAGTACCTGAGTCTCTCTCATCAACTCCATTAACAGCCTGATAGCCCACAATCTCTTCAACTATTGCAGAATTATTAAACCCTTCTGTACAGACATTCACCTTTTTAACTTCCCTTTTGTCACAATCATCCAATAGAAGACATCGACAAGCTCGTTTACTCCCTTGAGAGACTGCATCATTGTCCGATACGGAGCTCTTACGCTCCAATGATTCCTTATCTGTTTTAGTAGACAAGTCTTCTTCTGAACTGTTTGGTGCCTCTGAACGTAAGCAACGTTTTATTTTTTTTAAAACTGGTGATACAGGTTCTGTCTGCCTTTTCTCGCAATTTTCCACAGTTTGTTTTTCAACATTATCCTTCTCTGAAGTAGACAGTCCTCTCTTCCTAGGACTCACCCACAATTCCCGAGCACTCGGCTGTTTCAAGTCAGTAGTTCTTCCACCATTATTTCCCTTCTGAGTTTGCACAGGATCTGGTCTCTTCTTTGGTGATCTTGATCGTACTTGAGGATGGGGAGAAACTTCCTCTGGATGAGCAATACTACGGTTTCTTAAGGTGCGACCACAAAAGTTTTCATCCAAACCATTTAAACCCACTGTTGATCTTGTAACACGAGTAGATCGAGAAGCAGCCATACTATGGCAAGTCCCTAAAGTATGTTCATCATGATCCACATTGGGAAACCTTCAAAAAAATGTAAACAAAACAATGAGAAAAAAGTAACATTCAAAAACATTTGCACGCAAATAATTATGCTATCATTTTGGAGGATATATCATATACTATAACTAATGTATACGTATTTAAGAACTACATGAACGTTTCTTCCCTCTGTATCAACAAATAAGTAGGAAAAATGTATATCTATACCACAAAAGGATAGGTTACTTACTATTTCTGTTTATTCTGCCTTTAGTGCAGGTATCTGAGCATCACTGAAACTTGAATATCATAACCTAAACACTCCAGTTCTAAAATGCACTATTTTTGCCATGGTACACACAACATGTAAAATCATGATTATTGAACCTTTATTAACTGAAAAATATCAAATCTTAACTTTGAGGTTCCACAGTCTCCTTTAACAACATAAAAGATTGCATGTTAAGATGAAAAAAATATTAAAACAGCATCTTATTGAACCTGTAGTTTGAATGCATCAAAACAAGTCCCTGAAGAATAATATTTTTCATCTGTATTTCTAATTTAAGATATTACACTTGTCAAATAATAACTACTATTAATGGTACAAATAGGCCTCAGTTAAAATCTTAGATTCACATTTTATTTTAACCTATTTCTATCATGATGGACTGTATCATTTCCTACCACAAATTTAAAAAAAATTAAAACTTAGATGTAGAGTTCAAACCCCTATCGTTTGTTTCTCCAGTTTTCACGCATCTCAAACACTGGTTTTGCTGACTCAATAATATTTTATTCTGTGGAAACTGGATCCCAGAATTATTCTTCTTGTATTCTTCATTCTTTAAAAATCAAGCATGCAACACTGTGCATCATCATTGGGCTCTCTCCAAAATATTGAGGATGATAATTAAAAAATAATTTTTAAACTTCATATTTTTTCTATTCTACTTGTAAGAATTCTTGCACATTGCTTTAAGAGGCTTTGTTTGTTTGGTTTTAAAAAGTAGTAACAGCAGCAGCAGCAGTCATCAGACTACAGTATTATTAATAAGTCAGGAATTAAAAAATGGAAGGGAAATTATTTCAGCAATTTCTTCATCATCAGGGAAAAATTATAGCGTCACTCCTCAGAAAGTTAATATTTATGCATAAAGTAGGTCAAGTTCCTTATCAGGAAACACTGGAGCGCTCACATTCAGAACAAGCCAAGCAAGACCAATATTCTTCTGGAGGAATATAATGCTGCCTGACACTTAATGAGAACTTACCATATACTGCCTGCTTAAATGTGCTTAAGCCTAAAAACTGCTAGTTATGTTAAGTGCAAGATTACACACCAGGAACGCACTGTTTGAAGGCAATATTTTAGATTTTTAAAAAAAATTATAAAAAATAAACATCAAACAAATGAAAAACACATTGTTACTTAGTAGGGTCAGTAAAAAGCAAGGGAAGAGTCTGAAAGGCACTATTTGCAAGCATGAGACCCAGGCTAGCAGATTCTGAATGTTCATCTATAACTGGAAAGTGATTACTGACCTTCTTAATGGTTGTAAATCAAGTAGTCTTAACTGCTGAGCAATATTAGGTTAACACTGCTAGACATCTGAGCAATTTTTAGGAATTTTACAGAATATAAAACACCTGGCAATCTAATTTCTCTAAACAGATACATGTACCAATAGCTACTTGGCCATAAGCCAAGGCCTCCTGCACATGCATCCTAAACTATGTGGTGTGATTTTTTTAAGTTATGATCCATTGCAACAAGCAACTATTAAGAAATGTTAATGGATTATAAAGATATCTGCGCAAGTTCACAACCCTTGGTTTGGGACAGAGGATGATAGGCAGTGGCAACAGGGTCTTGTAAGGGGCAGGACAGGCTTGCAGGGGATAGCAAGTTTCCATAGTGTTAAACCAGTGATTCTCAACCCAAGTGCCACAACATACCGCTCAATACCACAGCTATTAAATGTACAAACACATACGTGACTCATAAAATAAACCCAGAAATTTCACATAAGTATCTACAGTTTCTGAACATGCTGCTATGGTCTTTCTGAGTTCTTTACACAGAAGAATTGCTCTATTATTGTTCCATAGCTAAGAGCTATCACTTCCAAGGGGTGCCTCAAGTCAGAGGAGGTTGCAAAACGTGGTTCTCAATGCTCCCTCAAAGATTACACCTTTTCCACCTCTGAACCTCATGTTTCTGTGCTCCCCAAATCTTCAGCTGGCTACACAATTTATTTGGAACTCCTAAAGGCAAACAATCAAAATGAAAAGATGGAAATTTCAGAGCAAAAAAATAGTTTGTCATAATCTATACAATAAATAAATAGGTTTAAGTAACAGCTTAGCAAAAAGCTAAAGTCTGTGGCACACAGAAGGGTACTTAATTACGTCTGATATAGTGCCCTGGCTGTAGCAAAAGAAATCCAAACTTAAACACATATAAGCAGTAGTTTAGTACCAAATCAATAACACAATGCAAGTCAAAAGTGGAAGCCTCTCATTTCTTCTCTCAACTTTATTGTCTTTTTTTTCCTGACAAAGTCTTATATGTAAGCTTGAAAATACCGTTTCCAACTGTAGGGATCCTAAATGCAACAGAAAAGATGTGATCCAGTTGAACACATAAAAGAAAAAAGGTTTATGACTCCTAAAAATATTAATGTAGTGGGAGTCACTGAAAGTGAAGAGTTGATTTCTAATTCTTCAAGAGTTTTGTTTCTTCTGCAAATATTAAAGAACCATAGCTACCACAATTTTGATTTGGCTAAAACTGAATAGAACTTCCTAATGCAAGTATTAGCAATATATACCGTATTTCACAGTGTATAAGTCGAGTTTTGAAGCCCAATTTTTAACTCTTAAAAATGTTAAAGTTCTTTTAACAGTGCTTTTTCAGAAACTTCTTTGAGTCTTCCTGTCCCCTAGCAACAGCACCGGGCTCGGTGCTTGGCTGACACACCCCCATCCCCTATGAGCAGTGCTGCCTGGGCCATTCCAGCCCAGCACTGCTAGCAGCAGACAGGGTGCTCAGGCTTGGTGCTCAGCTGGCACGGCCCAGGAAGCACCGCTTGCAGGGGATGGGGCTACGCCAGCTGAGCCTGTCTCCTGTGAGTGGCGCTGCAGCATGTGTCCACCCCCCAGGTGCCTGGTCCGCAGTGAGGTTGCACAGAGGCTGGTATAAATTGACCCCATATCTCTGATCGAAAAAGTTAGGTAGACTTATACACTGGATCTACTAAATTCCTGACTTTTTGGATCAGAAAAATGGGGTCAACTTGTACACCATGTCAACCTATACACCATGAAATGTGGTACTACAGCAACACTGCTGAACTTAGTAAACATCAGCTTGCCCATTAACACATAACAAGTTCATTGCTTTACACCCTTCCTCATCTCTCTCTCAAGTACAAGACCCCCCCCCCCCCCCCCC